GCTCTCTTCTCCATTCACTCCCGCCTCCCACTCTGCTCTCTTCTCCAATCACTCCTGCCTCCCAGTCTGCTCTCCATTCACTCCCACCTCCCACTTTGCTCTCTTCTCCATTCACTCCCACCTCCCACTCTGCTCTCTCCTCCATTCACTCCCAGCTCCCACTTTTCCCTTTATGGGATCTCAGTTTCTTTTGGCCGTGCTGCCCCTGCGGTTCGTGGATTTCTCTCCGTAATGTCGGCGGGAGATTTAATGAGAATAAGAATCACGTTGACAGTCCATAGGCAGCAGCTCGCATCTCTTTCATTTCACTACGGGATGTTTTTTTTTGTTGAAGATTGTGAAGTGTGTGACTGACCATTAATTGGTGGGATCGGGATAGTTTCGGAGTTGTTGCTGCTCGCTGCTCACATGGTATTGGAGGGGGGGGGGATTAAAAAGCTGCTGGGAGAAGGGTAACTGCACATTCATTCAGAATGAGGGGTATTATCACATTAGCACGCATCATCTCGTCTCCAGCAATACCGCAAAGGGATATGTTTTAGCTGTGGACGTGTAACTGGATGTTATAAACTTATGCACAGTCTAGCTACTTTTTACAAATCCCGATCAAGACTAATTCGAAATTCCAACCCAGCATCGAGGAGACAGCCATAAAGAGATGGCTGGGGAAATTACAGTCCGATTGAAAACAAAACAAACAAAACTCTGAATCAATTTGTATTGCGAAACGAAACAACTAGAAGTTCCAAGGCACCATCCCACAGCGAGACGTTCTCACTGCCTGGAGAAGGTTATAGGTTACAACATAACGCTAAAGTTGAACGACTCGAAGTAAGTAAAGCACCGGGAGCAAAGACTGACCTCGACCGAGTGTGTGTGTGTGTGTGTGTGTGTATGTGTGTGGGGGGGTGGGGGGGGGGGGGGGGGGGTGGAGAGGCAGTTTTGTCCCTCTTGGATAAGGAAGGCGGAGAGGGCGGTGCTTGGACACCCTGTTCTAGGAAGTCTCGGGCGAGCTGTTCCTCTCCAGTGAGGAGTGAACAGCCCCAGGCACCGAGGGACAGTACGCTCCTGCACCTTTGGACGTGAAGGGGGAGAGAGAGAGAGAGAGGAGGGGGGTGGTGGGGGCTGGAAACAAAATAAACAACTCATTCGTGTCCGAAAGCCCAGGAGGTGCAGGCTGGGGAGGTGCATCCAAAACCAGAAAATGGGATTCGACCCCGAGCGTTTCAGTGAGGACGTGGATCCTGACTTCAAGTGCAACCTGTGCAATAAAGTGCTGGAGGATCCGCTGGCCACTCCGTGCGGGCACGTCTTCTGCGCCGGCTGCGTGTTGCCCTGGGTGGTGCAGAGGGGCAGCTGCCCGGTGCAGTGCCGCAGGCTCGGCCCCCGGGAGCTCAACCACGTCCTGCCGCTCAGGAACCTCATCCTCAAGCTGGAGATCCGCTGCGGTAACTGGGAGCGGGGCTGCGCCAAGGTGCTGAGGCTGCAGCATTTGGCCGAGCACGCCGAGATGTGCGAGTACACGCCGGCTGAGTGCAGGAACCCGGGCTGCGGCCAGGCGCTGAGCCTGCGGGACATGGACGCTCACATGCGGGAGAGCTGCGAGCAGCGGGCGGTCGGTGTGTGCCAGCAAGGCTGCGGCTTGGTGCTGGTGCACAGGGAGCTCCGGCTCGGCTCCCACTGCTGCGTGCAGGCTCTGAAAGCGCACGGCCAGGCACTGCAAGCTCAGCTCACCGGTGTGCAGCGCCAGCTCAGGAAGCAGGCAGTGAGAGCCGGCAAACGCGAGAAGTCGCTGCTCTCCCAGCTGTCAGCCCTGCAGAGTGAGCTCCAGATGGCAGCCCTCCGATACCAGAAGAAATTCACCGAGTACAGCGCCAGGATCCGCTCCCTGACTAAGAACAGCCCCGCTCCGTGCAGCGTGAGTGCCTTTTCTTGGGTCCTGCTTCAGTTCCATGGGCTGGGACTGACTCGCTCATTCACTGTGTGAGACATGGTGAGGGTCAGTGAAAGGGAGAGAGAGGTCAGAATGGGAGACAGGCATAGGGAAAAGTTGATGGGAGGGTGAGGTTGGTGTCGGAGTATGGGAGAAAGAAGGTGGGTAGAGAGATAGATCGATGGAAGAGGGGTAAGTGGTGGGAAAGGGAAGTGGGTGCGTAAGGGAGAGCTAGGGAAAGGGGCACTCGGTGAGGGAGAAGGGAGGGACCAGGTTATTGGAGGGGCAGAGAGAAGTGAGTGTGGAGGAAAGAGAAGGGGCTAGAGGAGAAAGAGGGAGTAGGTGGAGAGTGAAGGGGGAAGTTAGTGGGAGGAGGGTGTGGCGGTGGGGAAGGGAGGGGATAGAGGAAGGGAGAGACTAGCCTATGGAGGTGTGGAGGGAGAGAGTGAGAGGGGCCAGGGGAATGGAGGGAGTGATGTTGGTATGGAGCAAGGGGATGGAGTAGCCAGGAAAGGGAGGGTTGAGGGGAATGAGATAGATGGCAAGGGAGGGAGAGGAGGTAGTACAGTGGAGTCATTAGGAATGAAGCAAGGGAGAAACAGGACAGAGACCCAGGGGCTAGAACAAGAGATAAAATGTGGAGTGAGCAGGAGAAAGAGTGAGTGAAATGATATGATAGATGGAGTAAGAGAGAAAACTCAGAGAGATGGAGCAAGAGAGGGAGAAATGGGGAATCTGTGAGGGAGAAATGGGAGATCAGGAAGAGAGAGAGGAAGAAATGGGGGATCACAGAGGAAAGGAGAGGGAAAAATAGAGGATTGGAATGGGTAAGAAAGTAGGAATGGAGCAAGAGAGAGAAACTGGAGGGATGAAGCAAGACACAGAGAGAAACAAGAGGAACGCAAGGTGGTAATGAATCAAAAGAAAAAAGGGAACAGGGTGAGAGATGAGGGATGAGGGAGAGGGTGACAGTGGGAGAAGAGAATACTGAGAGGCGGAGAGTGTATAATAGTGATGGCAAGGGACAGAGGGAGAAGAAGAGAGAAAGGAGTCAGTTAATTATGGTGAAATAGACAGGAAAAAAGTGAGAGGTGAGGGGAGGTGGAGAGAGTGAAAGGAATGAGGGCCAGGGTGAAGGAGAGAGAAAGGGGCAACTATGGGGGAGAGACAAAGCTGGAAATGGTGTGAGAAAGGGGGCAAGTGGGTGGGAATGCTGACAGAGGGGAATGGTGAGAAAGAATGGGACTGACGATGATGACAATGGATGACAGATCAGTTACTAGTGAAGGAACAGGACAGGAGCTAAGCTGTGATTAGGAAGTGTAGAGTGCAGTAAGAGTTAGTAGTTTGGAGTATGAGGTGAGTGAGAAATTTTAAATGGACATGATGCATGCGATAGTGACAGTTGCAGTCCATGAACCTTGAAGAGAGGTGTGCAGCGGGAGAGTTTGAGTGAGTGCTGGCCCTGTGAGTGTGAGGTAGCAGAGAGAAAATGGTAGAAGTTACCGTGGTGGAGCACAGAGGACCATTAACCTTCTGTTTGCACTGCAGTATGTTGCGTTTCAGTTGGATACTGACCTGGGCTACTACATGAGTCCAAGCACACGGAGTCTGTTAGCGTGACTGCTTTTGCTGGTTAGCAGGAAAAAGCAGTGTTCTTGTTTTCCGTACACTATCTACCAGCACCTTGGGTCCTTGTCACCAAACTGTGAAGCTATTTACCTTTCTTCGGTCATTTCCTTAGGGCTAACACTGAAATACCACAGTGTGAAGTCCAAAGGCCAGTTCCTTGTTTGCAGCTCGTGAGTGGTTTGAAGCTAGGCTTTAAAAATGGTGTACAGCAGAATGAAGCCCCGGCAGCAGCAAGCACTTCTGCCTCTCCAGCTACTCAATGGTCACCAGTGAGGCCAGTTTCATGTTTAATGAGATGAAGATGTGACGATTGCACGCAAAAAAATCAACATGAGGTCGCAGCAGACTGATACCAGGAATGTCACCTGAGAAAATACTTTGGCAACAAACAGGAAGATACAAACCAGGGACTGAGTGGATAGCTCAGATAGAATGAGAGATCATAGAATCACTACAGTGTGGAAAGACGCCACTCGGCCCATCAAGTCAAGACCAAACCTCCAAAGAGCATCCTACTGAAACCCAGTCCCGCTGCCCTGTCCCTCTAATCCCACATTTACCTTGGCTAATCCACCTAACCTGCCCACGATGCGGCAATTTAGCATGGCCAATCCACCTAATATGCATATCCCTGGACGATGGGAGGAAACTGGAGCATCTGGTGAAAACCCATACAGACACGGGGAGAACATGCAGTCACCCAGTGCTAGAGTCAAACTGGGTCCCTGGTGCTGTGAGGCAGTAGTGCTAACCACTGAACCATTGTGCCACTCGGTGGAAAGGCATTGTGAACAGAGAGTGAAAAAATGGTGGGGTGGCATGGGTGGGGGAGTGAGCAGACAGAGAGAACCAGAGAGGGGATTTAGAGAAGGGGAGTTATAAAAAGGAAGAGGCTGGGTGTCAGAGAGAGAGAGAGGGAGGGAGAGGGGGTAAAGGGGATGGCAGAAGAGAACGCAATGAAGCAAGTGGGTAACAGATGGACGGAGAGAGAGAAAGAAAGGATAGAGTAGATAGACGAGGAAAGGCTGGACAGAGAGAGAGAGACAGACAGGAGGTAGACACAGAAAGAAATGGAGGGATGGACAAAGTGCGAGAGGTTGCAGAAGAGATACATACATACAGCGGTGTGGATATCTCCAGTGCTGGCTGGCTGTGTTCCTAACACAGGTTCCTAACAGGTGATAGTAGGAACTGCAGATGCTGGAGAATCTGAGATAACAAGGTGTAGAGCTGGATGAACACAGCAGGCCAAGCAGCATCATAGGAGTAGGAGAAGGAGTAGGAAAGCTGACGTTTCAGGCCTGTTATCTCTCTTCCTAACAGGTGAGTCAGGACAGACAGACATACACAGACAGAAACAGCTGGTGATGGGCAGTAAAGACAGTTATGCAATTCACATACAGACATGGGCACACCAGCAAACATTTGTGACACATCACACACAGACAACTGCAAGTTGGACAACATGCAGAATCAGTTAACACAACCACACACATCTAGCTGTACAAATTCCAGTTAGAGCCACAGTTCCTCGGTTTAAATATATTTGCATATACGACTTTATGAAAAGGAAACAATTTAAACTTGTTCTGTGAAATGGTCAACGACACAACTTTCCCTCAAACATTTTGAGGTTCCCACTGCAGATTTGTATATTTTGGACTAGGATGCTGTTTTGAGATGAGAACGGTTCTTTAAGTCTATACTTAGTTTAGCCTAACATGGAGGTCGAGGATATTTTGCAGCCACATCAAACCTTTTATACCAAATTGAATGATAGCTGAATAGTTTTGCACCCCACTTCTCCCAGTTATGCTTGTCATACAAATAACTGAATTTTCAACTTGTTTATAATGGCAGAACAAAATGTCCAGTGCTTTTGAGGTTTCTTTGAACAAAACATCATCTTAGAACTAAAGACTAGAAATAAATAGCCCAGGATAAATCCCCAGACCCCCACCACACCACTGTGTGCAGTGTGAGGTTGGAGGAAGATTGCATGTTAGAGTGGTATTTGTGCCATCAAACACTGCAAGGTCAGTCTCGATTCAATTTTTCCAAGTGTTTTGACCCCCAGAAGTTGTTAACATATCTTGTGTGTGATTCCAGTTTTTTGGTTGGTGAACTGGTTTACAAAGTTCTTTCATCTAAATTATATTTCCTACTTCAGCCTATTATGCCAATTCGTAGCTAATTGCTAAATCAGTTGTTCTCAGCTCGACTGTCTAACACTTGCAATCTGTTTCTAGGGAGGAGAAACACTGACCATCATCATGCAGCGGGACTCGGGTTCCCTGGGATTTAATATTATTGGTGGCAGACCTTGTGCGGTATGTATCTTCATACAACCCTGTTATAATTCAAGATGATTGAGCAGTATTTTCAAAATGTGTCTCCCTGTTGGAATGTGGAACAATGGTTGTGCTCAGGGTTCAGCAATAAGATTTTAAGAGCATCTGATCTCTGTGACATTCCTTGCAGAAGAACTGAACATGTTCTTTTCACTGCATTGAATTAGTTTCCACAACAGAGCTCAAACAATATATTTATGGTTCACATTCATGATGCAAATGAAATACTTGTGGCAGCTCCTGCAATTTTTCACAAGGAAGCGGTAGGTTAGAATAATTAAAATGTACCTTTGTCAGCTGTGGCTCAATTGGTACCATTCTGGCTGTGAGTCACTATTCCAGGATTTTGACCATACAAGAGTCAAGGTTGAAATTTTTGGCTGTGTTTTTAAACTGACTTCCCATCTGCTTCCTGTGACAGATGTAAAATAATCCATGGCATTATTTTAAAGAGCGAGGGAGATTTTTTGGCTGTCCTGGCCTTATTTATTGCTCAATTAAGGTTAGAATAACAAACGATCTCCTCATTATCAGTTTATTGTTATTATATATTGCTGTGTGTAAATCGGCTGTCCTGTTTCCAACGTTACAATAGTGACTCTCCATCGAAAATATCTTATTGGCTTTAAAGTAATTTTGAGATATTTGGTTGTGGGAAAAGTGCAATATAAATGCCAAACTTTCTTCCTTTCTGATCCTAGTTGTTGCTGTTGTGTTTTGTCTCAGAGTCTTTAAGAGATATAGTATGTCAGGATACCTTAAGATCTATGTTCACGATGTCATCAATGCATCATAATATGTGATGTGAGAGCATGAAGACCTCTGACTTCCTCTTAACTTGATCATTTGAACCATACATGCTTCAAAAGGTTATGTTGTAATTTAATCACTTGATGTTAGCCCAGACACCCATGTGCCTGTGAATATACTGTTTGTATGTTAATAGCCAGCTGTAATAAGTATCCATTGGTTTCATCAACACCATGATATCCATGCCTAGTTAATTATGTCATGGAGATAACATAAGCATTGCTACATCAGATAAAATAACCTGATGGAGGCAAACTCTATAAAGAAAGCTACAATGTGTTAGCGTTAGATATTTGGAAAGCTAATTGAAGGCCAACTGGTCAACAGCTTTAAATATTTCCATATTCAGAGCATGACTTTCTGAACTTACAGAATCAAACTCTAGTGCCAGTATGCAAGTTCATCTTGGCTCCCTGAAATCTTCTATCTGGTAAACATCAATGATATAACAGTGGAGGGACTACCAGCACAGTGGATTTCAGTGTAGTCACAGGTGATGAGATTCAAATCACACACAGCAGTGGAATAGACCATACCATCAAATCAATCAACGACCTCATACACTTGTACCCGGAAGGATTGAACTGTTTGCTAATTTTAAGGGTAATGCCTTATTGCATTTTAAGGGTTATGTAACCCCATTTATTGATCTTCCAAGGTCGTTCAGCATTTACATTCAGGAAAACCTTCAAGTGGAACTTCAAAGATGGAACAAAATGGTATAATGTAAAGGAGTGCCCAGCACACAAATTGCTGTTGCTCCATCTTAATGCATCTTAAAGAAAGCTGGCACTATATGAATCTGTCTAGATCCAAGACATGTCAACCTTTCACTTAAAGGTGTCCATGCAAGATAACGAAGCTGGAAGAGCTAAATTTTCTTGAGCAAGGTTCTTTCCAAAGCTAGATGTGAAGCATTGATACTGGCCTGTCCATTTAGCAGAAGAATCCCAAGAGCCTATGACATTTCAGACACTATTTGGATAGTACTATTTTCATCAGTTACCATTTAGGTTCTCAGTTTGTTAAGACATGTTTTTGCAGTGCGTAGAAAGCATTGTTGAAAATATACCTGGTTATGTTTGGTAGCTGATGATATTGTGATCATGGGCAAGACGAAGACAGAGTATGATCACAACCTTCACCTACAAATGACAGCAGCGTAATGGCAAGATTAATCAGTTAACAGCACAAAATGGTGGTCAGTTTTAGCCAGACGTACTTCTCCAGGTCTGTGTGCTATGCCAATGGCGTCTGTCTTGATTTGTGGTAAGACGAAGGATGTAAAACAAATGCCAACCCTGCAGATTAAGGAAGATCTGTGATGCTGCCTCGAGTTATGTATTCTCACCATATATTCCCAGTTTCGTGGACGAGGTATCTCTGCTGAGAGACCTACTCAAGAAGGATGTCCTCTACAAGTGGAAAAATGACTAATATGTCTTTAGTTCTTTCAAACATGTCCTGTCAGCAAAATCTTGCCTGCTGCAGAATGATAATTCTCAAGGTGAAGGAATATTAAAAAGGCCTACGCACATGTCTTTTGCAAGACGATAAAACTATTGCTCTTCTTTTGGATAACCTGTGATCTGCTCAAGGCAACTATTCCAATGTAGAGTTCAAGACATTTCTTTAGCAAGAAATTCATTATTGGAACAGATCATAAGCCAGTAGACGTGATCTGCCTTAAACCATAAATGAGGCACAACCATGTTTATAGTACCTGCACATTACGGTGCAAAGATATAACTTTTAAGTGAGATATAAGTTGGGTAACAGGAGCATTATGCCTAACATGCTGAGCAAATTACCCAACCCACACAAGGACCAAAATATTCCTCATGATCAACACGTTGATGCTCTAGATTATGAAGCTGAAGATGTTCTCACCTTTGACGTGTTACATTTTTGCAGTTGGCAACCATGCAAGGTGAGAACTGCAAAAGTTGCAGAAGATCATTATCGAGAGATGGCATGACTGTAATAAGTACCTGAAAGATTCATTCATCTTGGCAACACAGCGACAAACTTGTTATACCACACAAAGCCCTCTTTTAAGGGCAAATGAGTCCTAATACTGAAAGAATCATGTCAGGATATCGTGACCGTATTACACTGGGTATTGAATGCTCGAGATAGCTCGCACATGCTGTATTGCATTTTAAGGGTGATGCAACCCCATTTATTTGTCTTCCAAGGTAGTTCAGCATTTACATTCATGCAAACCTTCCAGTGGAAATTTAAAGATGGAACAAAATGGTATAATGTGAAAGGGTGCACAGCACACAGATTGCTGTGTTCCATCATACGTGTTTTAATGAAAGATGGCACCATATGAATATGCCTAGATCCAAGGTACGTCAACCTTTCACTTAAAGGTATCCACACAAGGTCATGAAGCTGGAAGAATTAAATTTTCTTGCACAAGATTCTTTCCAAAACTGGATGTGAAACATTGATACTGGTCTGTCTATTTAGCAGAAGAATCCCAAGAACATTTAGAACACCGTTTGGATAGTACCATTTTCAAGGGCAAATGAGTCTTCGTACCGAAAGAATCATGTCAAGATATCATGTCCCTATTACACTGGGGTATCGAATGCTCAAGATAGCTTGCACATTTATCTGTGTACAAGCCAGAGATGAATGAGGATATTTAATGATTTGTAACCGCCTATGAGGCAAGTTAGAGGTATCAGCCGCAGCAGTAAATGGAGTCCCTGCATTCACACACTGTTCCATCTCCTTCTTGGATGAAATTCGCAACAGACCTTTACCCAATGCCCAGGCAAATTACATCCTTGTGATGCATTAATTCTCCACGTTTCACATTGTTCGACCCACTTAACAACACAATGAACGTGACTGACGTGGTGAGCATTATTTTCTGTTTATTCTGTCTCCTGGATCAGGTAATACCTGACAGTGGACGGCAATACTCCAAACAAACCATTTTGATACGTGTACACTAATTGTAAGTGACCCATTATCACCTTACCACCTCACTACCCACACTCATGTGGGTCAGCAGAATGATTGGACAGTATTTACTATCCAATGATCATTAAGTTTTAAGTGACAAAGCAAAATTTGCCCTTTGCATTGCTACTTTTTCATGCAGCACCAGATGAGCAGGAATCACTAACCCCAGCACAACTTATGCTCGGAGGCAAGTGCAAGAGTCCTTGCCCAGCATTTAATTGTCGAATTGTTCGAAGACATAGGACATTCCCGTTCAAAGATCGAGGAGAATGAAAGCAATACATAACAAATGAGGAGGTAGAGAATTATGAAAAAGGTGCACTGGGCTGACAGTTTGACTTTGAAATACAAATTCACATTCCTGGATACTAGCTAAGGTTTCTAAAATATACCACCAGCCCAAATCATATAAAGTCTTTATTGATCATGATGCTATATTGTGAAAGAAAAGAAGCCAGCTCAGACCAATATGCAGCACACCCGTCAAAGACAGTGCACAAAGACAGTAAAGGAGAATTCTCTGATGACACTGATTGTACGGTGATGTTGAGTGCCAAAATTCCACAGCAAAACAACTAATTTATCAGATAAGGAAGCTACCTTTCATATCTTTCCAGGTGGATGTATGATCACCCGTTCAGGATGAACTGTCAGATCTCCAAAGCATGACTGATATTTGAAGTGTTAGTCTTGTAAACTCTATTTTATCTGTTTGTATAATTATCAAATTGGCACATTGTGCCTGTGTCCAACCACGTATACGTGTTTGGGATAAACTTTTACCTTTATGGTCAGTATACTTTTAAGAGACATGGTTATGATGTCATCACTGCATCATAGCATGTGACCTGAGTGTGTAATGATCTCTGGATCACATGAATAATGACATGTTATAAGAAGCATGATGTTCCATTGTAATTTCTTAGCTTGATGTTAACCGTGAAACATATGTGCCTGTGAATGTCACATTTGCATATAATGGCTAGCTGCCGTAAGTGTCTGTTGGATTCTTCAATGCCAGAATATCCAATTTACGTTGTGGACAATAACATAGGAATTTCCACATCAGGTAAAATACCCAGCTGGAAGCTAACCCACGTCAGTTCACAGCTGTTGTCATCACTTCAGCCATTGCTACTGGAGAAAATACTGTCAGGCCTTTGCCTGTTCCATTGGCTCCCATTTGCCATTTGAGTTTGGCATCTCCTCCTATTCATGTCTTCACATCAATTCTGTTTCAAATTGCACGCTTCAAATACTAATTTTGTGTTTTTTTTTGCTTTCACCACATTTTGAAGGAAAATCAAGAGGGTGCAGCGTGTGAGGGGATTTTTGTGTCAAAAGTAGTGGAGAACGGGCCAGCAGACAAAGAAGGGGGATTACAGACTCAAGACCGGATTCTGGAGGTATGTGGAAGTTACTCTTTGAAGAGCTGCTGAAAACGTGATTTAAGTTGGAAGGTAAAGTTGCCTGGTGAGCATTAGTATAATGTACCTCTCTCCCTTCCTATCATGTTTAAGGGCAGGAAGATGATACTGTTTATTTCTTTCACTCTGTGGCAATGAGGCAGTAAGTTAGGGTTTTTCAGGATATGGACCAACATTTTTCCATCTGCATGCTTTAGTAAAACTTCCTATTACTATCCTTTACAATGATGTGTATTTTCTAGCGTGGTCATTTTAATGAATGTCATGTAGTTCCCTCTAGAATTAGATATTTGTTGTGCTGTGGTTTTAAGAGTACTGGCAACTTGTCTGATGCTGAATAATTGAATTTTATTTCAAGGTCTAGCAGAGAGTGATGAGGCAAATCAGGAAAAAAACAGCATGATTTCTTTGTGCAACTAAGGTGAAAATGCACTGCTCAAGATCATTACAAAATATGCCACAAGACTTGGTTGCCTTTACTTCAGCTCTGTGGAAGTGTACTCTTTCACATTTTCTGTTGTGAATTACAGTTGTAGAATTGCTATGTTTGAGATAGCGTCTGTTCGTCACAGTGGGAAATAATTGAATCCCTGCTGATCTTGTAAATTGAGTAATTATGATTTTTTTTTCAGCAGTCTCTGCTGTCAGTGATTCCGGATTTAATGTTTTTGATAAGCTTTCTTATGAAGGGGTTTACAGTTTGTAAAGTGTGGATGTAAATTTCTTTCTCCTTCTGCACTTTCTTTTGCTGGGCCATAAGCTTTTATGATTCTTTCTCAGATGAAGTTGCCTTTCGATTGATTTCTTGATAATTTTTATCAGTTAAGTAACATGATATCACATTATTTTCTTTGATATTATATGCTTATATTCTAATTGCATTTTTCTCTCTATGTTGTGATTTACACATTTTCACCAGCGTGCAATTATTTATTGTAACACACTTAACTGATAGTTAATACTTAGAATGTGAAAATAGACCATGGATAGGGGCAAAATTGATAAATGTACTAAGTTATGTCAGTTTGCTTTGAAAAAGATGATACCTCAATCTTCACAGCTGATTGAGTTAAGTTTTCTATTCCATTTTATTGCTCATTGTGTGTATTTATGGAGAATAATGACCTGCTTACCAATGGTTTACAGAAAGTAAACAGAGTTGGTACCCATGTAATATGAGTGAGTCAGTAGCAGCTGGTTCATAGCCGCTAAACTACTGATCCCTCATGTGCAGCATGTGTTTACGATGGCTGTTGTGCATTCATGTTTTTGACTTATTTTCCATTTCTGACCGTGTTTGTAATATATTCATTGCTCGGGTGTGGGATTTGACATTGGAATCGAGGGGTTTCTCTTTTCCATTGTCAACTTTGCTGTCACAAGGATCGCCTCATTTGCTTCTGTATGTGTTATCCCTTAATGAACCTAAATATAACAGTAGGGAACCTTTTTCAGCTGGGTTTCAATAATTGACGTCTTGAGGAAAAATTTGTAGCAGGAATTCTGCCCATGTTTCCTTTCCGTGCCTGAGGACAATTATAATGGACCACTGCTGCTCCGACCTATGTAGTATGAGAAGGTTCATTGTATGATGTATACAGTATTGAGTGCAAACCACTGGATTATAGACTTACACGCTGTGAAACTTAGTTTTTTTAAAATATGGTAACAAGGGATTCCAAACAATTTAGAAACTTTATAGTTGTAGCAAGGGGAAAAAAAAATTGAAAACTTTCCATTCCATTACTCAAGCAATTGCACACAGATGCCAATCAGCATTTTGTTTTCAAATTTGAAATATATTGGAACCTAACAATTAAGAAAAGCTATTATTCCTGCACACACTCAGCCTATTTGTGCAATCACTTATCAGTTTATCAGTGTGTTGCAACAGCAAGTTGGTCAACAGAACAAAACTTATGATGTCTTCTTATATTGTTTTACATAATTTGCACCAGCCTTGGTTTTTATGTTCACTTGAATATCAGTACCTCACCTTTCCTTTGTTATTTCTGCGCTGTTTACCTACAAATTAAATGCAACATTTTTAGAGCCCCTACAGTGTGGAAACAGGCCATTCGGCCCAACAAGTCCACATTGCCTGTCTGAAGAGCATCTGATCCAGACCCATTCCCCTACCCCTGCATTTCCCACGTCTAACCCAACTGGCCTACAAATTCCCTGGACACAATGGGCAATTTAGCATGGCCAACTCACCTAACCTGCACAACTTTGGACTGCAACCCCACACAGACATGGGGAGAATGAGTAAACTCCACACAGACCGTCGCTTGAGGTTGAAATTGAACACGGTCCTTGGTACTATGAGGCAGCAGTGCTAACCACTGAGCCACTGTGCCCCTTCATGATTTTCTTTTCGTTTCCAGTAGCATTTTAAAGGGACAAATAATCCATCCTACTGTAAATGCAATTATTCAAGAGGTTTAAATATGTTTACCAGGATACTTGTGATTTTTTTAAAGGGATGCTTAAAACAATGCACCCTTAATGTATAGCTTTCTATAAAGTAAAACCGTTTCTCTTCCATGTTAAACCTCAATCAAATTATCACATCTTGTTTCCATTCCTCCCCATCTCAGTGCATTTCCAGTAATAGCTTTTACTCCCACCCCTGCCTGTTCAATGTTAGAAGGCTTCAGACATCCTTGGCTCTTTACCTTAATTGCACACTGTCTTTTGGTAATCTCAATCGTAAGTCTGCAACTTGTTCTCTTTGTTGCCATTGTCAACTGCTTGACAACTTTAGGGATGTTGAGTTGTTTAGCTACATTGATTATGAAATGAGCAAAAATCTCATTGAAGTCCACTTTGAGAAAACTAAAGCCATCTAACTGACTTTTAGCAAGGGTCTGCAGCTTTGTTTCTGGCTCAGACTCCATGTTGATTTCTGTTGTCACCTGAACCTAGAGATAATCAGCCTCAACCTTTGCTTAACACTGAGCTTCAGATCCCATTTCTTATCCACCACTGATAGTCCGTTTCCATCTCGCTACCACTGCAGCTGTCACCCTCCAGCAAGAAGACTGAAATGAGGGGCACCTGGAAGAAGGGTCAGGCGAGAGAGGAGGAAAAGGTAGCCAGCGCAGAGGCACAGCAACTGAGCCAACTCCATTTGGACAGAGTCGATGGAGGAAGAGGAAATGAATGGGGCAGGGGAGTGGATAGTGGTAAGAAACAACTTCCAAAGTAAAATGCGTCAGGCCCCCACAGGCCCACAGCAAAATGGAAAGAGGCAGTTGCATGATGGACACAACAGCAGCTTTTCCGATGATGATGATGTGCAGAGAGATGGCCACTAACAAAACAAGAGGCACAGCACCACGGGGGACAAGGAGAGGAGCACCATCTCTCAACCCGGAAATGCCAGACATCCCAAGGGGCTCAGTGAAGCCCAATCCCCAGCCATCGGAGCCATGGGTTACCCACTGCACCACAGCTCTGGACAACCAGCAACAGCAACACACCAAATCAGGAGCAGAGCCCGACAGTCCCTCAGTTGGACTCGGAGCCAGATCCTCCTTTCTTCGTTCCTGCCCAAATGACACCAGATCAGGGCAAGAGGTTCTTTCTCGTCAAAGATGTTCAGAAGGATGAGACTGAGGCGCAGAAAACTGCCCAAACTCGAGAAAACCATGTAGAACCTGTTCCTGCTGCAGACGATGGGGAACAATGTCAGCGAGGATCTGCAGGAGGTGAAGAGCTAGCAAGCCTCGCTGTTTGCCTCAGAAGCTTCCAAGATAATCTTCCAAGCCAGGGTCTGCACCATGGAGCAGGATGAGACGTGCTCGCGTTTCTTCTTCCAGATGGTGTACAAGGAGAGGCCTGTGCTCAGCAGCCTGAAGGAAGAAGATGGCTCAGTAATGTCATCTCAGTCTGACATTCTGAGGATCAGCAAATCCTTTTATGACATGAAGCCCGCAGACAGTGCAGCCTCCCAGTTATTCCTGTCCTGTATCATGGAGGTCTTGGATGCGGGAGAGTCTGGACCAGCCGTTGTCTCTGGATGAGCTGACAAAGGCCCTTCAATCCTTAGAAATAAATAAAACTCCCGGAAGCGACAGCTTCTGTTTCAGTTGTATTCAGCCCTGTGAGACTTGATTGGCCAGGACATGCTGGAGGTGTTTGACAGTGGCAGGTAGTATGTGTGAATCCATGAGGAATAGTATCGTCACACTCATCGACAAGCGGAAGTAGGAGAGGGAGGAAATTAGAAATTGGCGATCAGTCTCATTGCTGAATGCAGGCTGCAGAATTCTGTCTAAGGTCATCGACAACTGGGTCAGATCTGCTCTGGGATCGGTGATTCACCCCAACCAAACCTGTGTTGTACCAGGCAGGACGATCTCTGAGAGCTTTGTGCTCCTCAGGGATATGATCCCTGAGTGCAGTACAGTACAGCTTAAGTGCAGTACAGGGAGGGTGGACACCTGCCTCATTAACCTGGACCAGGAGAAGGCCTTTGACAGGATATTGTATACGTACATGTGGGACTTGCTGTCCAAAATGGGCCTTGGGGATACAATCTGCAATTGGCTCTGACTGCTCTGCACCAACATCATTAGTGTGGTCTCAAATCAATAGGTGGGAATCAGAAAGCTTCCCGATCAGATCTGGAGTCAGGCAGGGCTGCCCACTCTCTCTTGCCTTGTTTGTGTGTTGTATGGAACCTTTGGTTAATTCCATCACGAAGGATGTGAGCCTGAGAGGGGTGACTGTTCCAGGCAGGGGAGGCCTGCAGGCCAAAGCCTCCCTGTACGTGGATGACATCACCATTTTCTGCTCTTTTGCCTGCTTCAAATTTCACATGGGGCTAATGCAACAATATGCTTGCATTGCACTGAATCGAAACCATGAGCAAAATCCTGTCGTTACACTTGAAATTCTGCCTTTTGACTTTACGTGAGAGTGCTCCTTGTTTAAGTTGGTAATCAAATTAACCGATGGCGATGTTTTCTGAT